TCTGTGTTCTGTCATGAGATCTCACTATATTTTTTGCGATTGTGATCGCTGAATTAATACACTTACTCAATCGCTGTTGTTTTAATAGAGAAATAGACTATTGCAATTATGGAATTAGTGGAATTACTAGAAATTTCACTGTTATAATATTTTTTGTTTGTTTTAGCTGTTTTCATAATGTAGACTGAGAGTCTTTGGTGTTGATTTATATAATAAAAAGCCTATAATAAATCAGTACACTAGATGAGGTAAAATACACCATGTATGTGTCCACATTCTATTGATTTGTGCTTACTGGAGAAAGTGCAATACCTGAAATGCAAAAGTAAATTTCTCAATTATAATTATAATTACAAATATTATTCTCGATTATAATTTTGAGAAAAAAATATTTTTTATCATTTTAACCATTATACAGAATGACGAAAATGTGACTAATATTTCATTGACTAAAAAACCTGACTAAAATGCTCATACATTTCATTGAATAAACAAAAACAGGACAAGTGTGTCTAATTATGATAACTAAAATGTACATTTGAGTAAGACTACTTTAGCCCGGGACTAAGACTAAGACTAAAATGAAAATAGCTGACAAAATTAACACTACCTTCAGCAGAGCCGCTTCGCATCGGAGCGGTAAAAACAGAAACCACATGTTTTAATTAATCGTCAACTAAACGAGACAGCAATAAACAGGGTTTGTTGCGGAGGTGCTTTCGTAGGTGCAGGAGGTGAGGAGATGAGGGAGAAGTGGAGGAGGAGAGCAGCGCCGGTTAATTGCCCAACCATACCCGGGTAAGTTTGTTGGTTTGTTCGGCATTTGAATGACAAAGGAGATGACAGAGGCAAGCTCAGGAGAGGCGGCGATCGCATCGGCTGCTTAATAATTGATCTACGAAAGCAAGAGCTTGTTTTGTGGAGATGAGAACACACTGCTTCATCTGATCCCTGAGCTGCTGGAATCAGAGGGATTGTTTTTGTAATATGCCACCGAATAATCAGATCAATGCTCTTTTACGGAGCACAAACATCTCACAACCGAGCCTTACCACAGTGAATTAACAGCTTCACACTTGTACACACAACACATGCAATACCACACACGTTCCCTTTGCTAAATCAGCTGGAACTAAATTTACAATTTGCACTGCTCAATATGGCGCCAGATAGATTAGACGACATTTTCATCATCATTGAAAGCCCAGACCTACATTAAATGGGTTCTTTTTTTTGCTCTATCTCTCCTTCTGTCTCCCTTTTCTTTTTGGTTTGCCTTCCAAATCGTAATGAAGTCAGTTTAAACAGCTATATTCATTTCCTTAATGAGGGGAAGGTCCTTTAATGCTTTTCTCCAGTGAGAGAGAGGCTGTGTGGGCGCTAATAAACACAACTCACAAAAACAACATCTCTTAACAGAGTATCTGAGGCCTTCGTGGATTTTTTTTTGTTAGCATTTAATTATACTTCAGCATTATGACTGACATTATTAATGCTCTCTCTGGGAGGATGTAATTGAAAGTAATGTTACATTAATGCTAAGTCTGAAGTGCTCTCGTGAATAAAAAACATCCAGTGCGATGTTTTGGACATTAATGTCATTGGCGATACAACGTGGTGTTTCGAAATCTTTTGGTAACAATGTAATTGCTTTAAAGAGCCAAAGACTATTTGAAATGTTGCAATACCTTTGCTAAACAGCTACATCTACTGCTTTCTGAAATAAATATTGAGTAATTCTATAATAGCAATAAAGCTAAAGCAAACGTGAGTAACCTTTTCAATGTAAAAGGGATAGTTCACGCAAAAATTATAATTATAAAATGTCATAATTTACTCAACCCCATGTTGTTCCAATCCTGGGACCAAAACAACATTAGATCCCATTTTCTTTCTGTGTATAGAAGGGGATGGATATAACAAAAAAAACATAAATTAATGTAATTTCTAATTTTGTAATAATACATGTTTTGTAATAAAATTTGTTTTTTAATTATATATATATATATATACATATACAGTTTTTAAAATTATCTTCTTTTGTTTTCCCTGGAAGAATTTTTATTTTTTTGGTGAACTATTCACTTTAAAATACTTTCTAAATTACATTTTACTGTTAAGAAACAATTACAGTAAGGTCAAAAAGAGTTTATACCTGTGCACCAGAATATATATATATATATATATACATATATATATATTATTATTATTATTATTACAAATTATACTATTAGAATAACAAAATGGCTTAAAAATTAACATGAATTTCAGACTGTCTTACTATTTGCTCCTCATTTATGACAGCAGCCTTCAAGTTGCATGAACTCCACAAGTTTATGTAAAACCTGATGATCATGTGATCAAACATGTTTTTAAACTGATCCAAAGAGCATCTTGTAGTTCAATAAAAAAATCATGAAACATCTGACCATCTGTACAAAGAGTCACATGATAAATCACTCATTTGCTTATTCAATCATTTTAAATCTGAAAAACTTCCTTAAAAAATCTTTAACCTAATGTAATTTTAAATCTGGAAAACGTCCTAATTTTTATTTATTTATTTTTTTAAATTCAAGATTGTACGTGTGGCCTGAAATCTGTACAATTTAGACGATCAGTGTCACTTTTTTTTCCCCAATCAATTAACCTAATATAAAACCTAAAATAATAATAATAATTTAAAAACAAAACTTTCTAGATTCTAATGTGGCCCCAGATTTACCTGGCAGATAAGTCAGCTGCAGGATGATTTACCTGAAATGTGCACTCAGTAGATATATTTAAACAGAGAGTGACCTCTATGAGTCAGACATAGTCTGTTTCACTGCAGCTTCCTCCACAGTGTTATACCACGCAAACCATTAATGTTTTCTACTAGCCTTTGTTTACAACATCAAAATAAAACAAGCAGCATTCACATGCTCATTCTCCTTTTCCAGTGTGTTAATTCTGGGAGTTACAGTCCGCCTTAAGGCAGCAAATCTGGTGTGAAACCCCATCACTTTAATTAACAGTGATTACAAATTACGCCATTCAGCGTGAGGACTAACAAGCAATACAGGCCATAGATAGTGATGTGCTCTAGAGCTTGAAAATGGCAGACATTACTCACCTATTCTGAATGAGAGTGGGCCACTGGTAGCGTTTCTCACCCACATGGCTAAGAAGAGCAGAGGCGCCCAGGCTCCGAGCATCTTCTTTGACTCCTCATGGGTCCAGCCCTGGGGGTCCCCCTTCACACAGCCCCCTGCCACACCAAACACAACAGCAACACTTCAGAAGAATATAAAACACGCTTTTCAATCAAAGGAATTATATGCGCATATGGTACAACAGTTTGTTGGTGCCAATTTTTTTTTTTATTTCACTGTGGTAAGCACTGTTAAACTTGTTTGGCTCTTAAGAACTTTATAATTGGGTGTTTCCTCAAATAACTTTGAAATAAACTTTGTTAAAACATATTTTTACACTTTCACTATGTTTGTCAATTAAATTGTTCAAAAGTGTAGAAAGAATACATTACAGCAGAACTTTGTCATAATTATGTTTTCTGAAAATAATAAACATTCCCACCATAATGTCATTTCTACCATATCTCAATTGATTTATCGTGCTTAAAATCAGCCTGTGGTGGACATGACTGTTCTGGAAATGACATCTTTGGATTAAATAATGCTTCCATTTATTTATTTATTTAAAAATGTCTTTTATGTATTAGACAGGGTGGCTAATTTTCATCCCAGGGCAGGTTGAAATAAATAAATAATCAAGTTTTTACCTAAATTTACCTTGATTTTTCTTAGTTTTCTTCATAAATCATGTCTCTTATTTTGTCTCAAACATGACCTCCACTTATACAGTTGTTTCCTTGCTAAAAATGTAACCTTTGAAAAAAAATTATTTGTGCATATTATCTGTTTTATCTAACAGTTGTAATAATTCGTATTTTCAGTCTGAGCCTGGGACAAGTGTATAACAATAAAATCTATACAAAAAGGCATTCTAGCAAGTAAAAGGAAGTAAAACAAATGAAGCATAGATAAATATTTACAAAATGGTAATAATGTGACCTTCACATAACAAAAAATAAATAAAAATAAATCTATTAGTTGAAAAAAAAAGAAAAAAAGGCAAACCCTGTGACATAAAAGTATTTGAAGTTAAAGAAACAGCCAATCATATTGTAACGGGGCTGACGAGACGTGAGACGTGTGGATCCATCTGCAAGCTTTATTCAAGAGACGTGGTATAACAGGCAGGGTCGAATAATGGCAAACAGGTATGTGGCGGGCAAAACACAAGAATAGTCCTAGGGCTAGCGTAGGTCACCGATCGGCAGACAGAATCACAGGGGCGAGACGAGAGGGAAAATCCAGGAACACAGGCAAAGATCAGAAACCGCGAAAACAGGCAAGGCAAGGCAAAACAAGGAAAACACAGGGACTCGGAATGGGGTACAGGCTAAACAATACTCAGCAGAGAATGGCAGTTTGAGTGGGTGTTATATAGTGAGTGAGGTGATAAGAAACAGCTGTGTGCAATGAGTGCAATCAGTGCAGTGTGCAAACCGTGCAATGAATGATGGGATATGTAGTCCGGGGTGCTATGCAACAGTTTGTGTTGTGCGAGAGTCAATGTAATGGAAAGGGTGACCTCTGGTGGTGAATGAACGGAAGTCCATGGACCGAATTCGTGACACATATAAATAATAAACTGTTCTGGAAACTATAAAAGTTTTCTTCACCTAAATAGAATGTGCCTAGAAAATAAAATAAAAAAAAGCCCAAATGAGAGCCATACAGTAATGTTCTGTCTTTGCTGGCAATTTCAAATGTTGGTTGGTTGAATTTCATTAAATAAATTTATCTTCTGTAAAAAAAAAAGAAAAAAAAAAGTAATATCTCATGCTACTGTATCATGTTTGTTAAACTCACAGCTGCTTATTGCAACAGTAGAGACAGAAAAAAGTAACAAGTAACTGAGTATCTCAGTGTCTAACTGCAATTATGATTCATGTTGCTACAAACATGTTTCATATCAGCTGCATTATCCAAAAGAAAAACATAAATCACATATACTGATTTTACTTAATGACACATCTAACACTGGCGATTATGTGACACAGCAGACGCTGTTTTTTTTTCTTTTTCTTTAAGTAGAAATGATAAATATGAAATCCTTACAAACTATGTCTGTTGCATTTGCTTCGAAGAATATGCAGAGGCATAACTGTACATCACTTGCTCACCAATGCTTTCTTGTCACGTTAATTGATGGACTGGAGTTGTGTGAATTACTTGTGGATTATAATGATGTTTTTATCAGCTGTTTGAACTCTCATTCTGACGGCACCCATTCACTGCAGAGATGTAATGCTACATTTCTCCAAATCTGTTCTGATAAAGAAACAAACTCACCTACATTTTGGATGTGATTTTGAGTTCCACAGAATCCATTTTAACCAATCATAGAAACCCTGCAAACACCACAGAGCATTCAATGTAGTCTTTTGACTTTGTTTTTTTTTTTTACACAAATGAAAACTGTGGTTGTCTTTATATCTTTGGTCATATATCTACACTCTAAAAACAGATTTTGAAGTTGTAAATAAAACAAATATTATTGGAGCATGTTTTACAAGAAAATATGGTAACACTTTAGTTTAGGGACCAATTCTCACTTTTAACTAGTAGCTTGTTACTGTATGCATATTACTAGCATATTGGCTGTTTATTAGTATATATAAAGCACAAATTAATGCTTTATTCTGCATAACCATATTTTAGATCCCTTAAACTTAACAACTTCCTTACTAACTATTAATAAGCAGCAAATTAGGAGTTTATTAAGGCAAAAGTCATAGTTAGTTAGGGAATAGTGAGAACTGGTCTCCAAACTAAACTGTGACCGAAAATACTGTTTCAGTCTCTCTTTGTCAATTTCAAAAATTTCATGTTTAATCCAATGCATTATTTGCCATTTCTTTGTAACTATTGGTGAAAATTACTAGTTTTTTTCAGTGGACTGTAATATTTTGGTCCACTGGATTCTCAGTGGATTTTTTTTTTTTTCAATGTTTTGTCAGCTGATCGATCAAAATCAACAACTGATTTACTTAAAGTGATGGCTGACCCTGGAAACTGTCTTCAATCAAGACTTTTTTTCTTATATGGAAAAAAAATGTTTTTTGTTCATACAACATTGGGCCCCATTGACTTTCAAAAAAAATCTCCAAAATATCTTCTTTTTTCTTCTACAAAGGAGAATGATACAGGTTTTGAATGACATGAACATAAGAAAATATATAAAATTGTATTATCTCAATTTCAAAAAATTGACCCTTATGACTGGTTTTGTGGTCCAGGGTCACAAATTAGTCTTTTGAATGCTGGAAAGCGTTAACTATCGTTATGATAACTGACAAATGTATATTATAAATGACATTCAAAGAAAGCCAATGCACAGTGCCCACTTAAACCCTCCTTTTCCCCTGTGAATTACTGTGTGTGTGGGGATGAGTCATTTGAGGGGAGGGTTGAATCAGTAATGGGATACCACAGAAATAGCACGTAGGTTGTTTTTGTAGGACAAGTGCTCGCTGTGGGGAGTAAAACAAAGGCGAAATCACCATGTGTTGTTCTGAACGCACTCGGCTGCTGTCGTGTGGTGAAACAGAGCTTGTTTTTGACCGGCCAATGCAACAATACCATCCGATAGGGAAGAACTCCACGAGGCTTACTATTGAAAATCTCACTACTAAAGCCAAGTGACTGATTCCATACAAATGTGGAGCAATTCAGTCCAAACTTTAATTAGTCCTGGCTCAGTCCCCACAATGCCACCCTTTTGTAAAAGGCATCAAATTAAGTTCTAGCAATGGAGGAGTTCTTTTCAATTAAAGCTAGATAAAGGCTGCTAGACCACGAGCACCGCAAACAAGTAAAACCTGTCACTCATAATCGAAGCTTCATCGCATATTCTCTCCAAATACCTCTAAGTGTCCATCAAAGCTCTTGTCTCAAAAACAACAGGCGGACTGAATTGTTACGGCATTTTTACGCTGCACTCACAGTTGACATCCACTGCAAATCAAAAGCAAGTCGGGGAAGAGGATTCCTCTTCTAGATGTCAATGAGAAGACTGAACCGCAGTTCACAATACTTTGTGAATATATGTAAAATGCAGAACCAGCAGCAGGGACGAGTAATAACAAAGACTATAGAATACCCAAGACATGTCACTCGTATAGTTTTGAATGGGGAAAAATGCAACGCTCAATATGGCCGCTCAATCACAGAAAGCCCCGCCGTCTGAATGAAAGAGCCAATCGCTAATTGGTAAAGTCAGCACGTCACTGCAGCTGCCGCTAGAAGTCCCGGTTGCTATAGAAACAGTCAGCGCTCTGAGACGTGCACTCAGGACTGCGCATGCGCACTGGCTGATCTAGCCTGAAAAATAAGCTTTTTATAACGCTATTTGAGCAAAAGAAACAACATTTATGACACAGTTGTTGTCAGATTTCTTTGGTGATTTCAAATATAAAATTTAATCGTAAGCTTAGTGAACAGTTTTGGAGAATTTGATGTTTCCCCATACAAAGAGATAGGAGCTGCACTTGCATGCCCGAGAGGCGTTTCAAAGATGGCCGCCGAGTCACATGACTTGTCTTTAAGAGACCTTGGTAATAAACACATTTTTTTAAGTTTCTGGTCGATGTTTGTCTTGGTGTTTCAAATGCCTTGAAGTTGTAAATGACTAGAAACAGTTGGAAGTAAATAAACGCACCAGGAATTAAATTAATCGCCTGTCAGAAATAAAATCAACACATGACAGTTCACCATTAAATCTTATTTACTATTTATTTAGAAGAATCAAACGGAAACAATGCGAGCGATGAATCTTTAACAGGATTGCAGAGAGACGCACACTCTGAGCCGAAACGCTGCCAAAACAAACATCGTGCCACATTATGAGTAGCTCTTTACAATTTCGAGATGCAGCCTCAGTTGTTGTTTTTTTTTTCAAGAATTTGTAAAATAATTGATTCAAAAGACACATTAGCCACTCACTACTCAGCTACCCTGCCGAGTTGCCGTGCAACTGGTGCGTTTTAGAGCGTTTTTGGGGTTGAACATTTTCTGTGGAATAACAACAGTGCATGAGAGCCCGCAGAATTTGGGTAAGTGTCTCTTTTGAATTGTCTACTCAAAAAATAATTTAGATTTTCAATTGC